CATTGAGAATAGTAATTAATTACTTAATTTAAAAGCAACAAAGCATTATTTTTTTGGGTACTAGGCAATAAAATTAACAATAAAAATGACATTGTTATGACCATCCTTCATTCTCTTGCAAAAACCTCCTTTTTGGCAACCTGTGATGTAATAATTCCAGCAGTTGCCAACCTTTTAATTCATTGACGTGCAATATGGAAAGAAAATCTAGGTTTAATCAACAATATTAAACTCTAAACCCTAAACCTTAATTAATAAAAGAAAAAAATATTAAAGAAACATTTTTAATTAAACAATAATATATATATATATATATTAGTCTGTTTTATAAATAAATGAAAGATAAAAAACAAAATGCTTGAGGCCTTTATAAGTTAGTTTGTTTGTGCTGCTAGGGTAGTGCCTGCTTAGATTGTACAAAGTTTAAGTAATTAATTGAACATGTTAGAACAGTAATATTAAAATACCAATTGCTAATAGACACACTAAGAGTCTAACCCATTTCGTCAAAATTAAAAAAGAGCTTACTTACCTTTTTAAAAAGACACTTATATTGACTTAAACTCAATTACTACTTACTCATAGAAGTATTTTGAAAAAAAAATTAACTAAAAGTTTTTCTTAGATAATCAACAAAATTGACAGTGCTTATCAATGTATTATCCCATGTTCAAAAGATATTCCATCAATTCAAATTTAAAATTTTATCTTGGAAGTCACAATTGAATCTTGAAATATATAAGATAAGATTTATGAGATGAAAGACAATAATGTGACTTAAGACACTACAAAAATTCCTGCTTGTTCCACAGAAATAATTCCATTGAAAAAATTTTGTTGAAAAATTCGAATGAATTTCCAACAGATTACCAATGGAATTAAATTTTATATTTTCTGACAAATTCTGATGAAATGTTTCCAACAGAAAAAATTTTGTTAGAAATTCGTCAGCAAAATTTTTGGAGAAAAAAAATGATGACTGCAAATTTCTCCAACGAAATTTCTTACGGATTTTCGATAGAATTTTCCAACGGAATGAGTTTTGTCAGAAATCCATTGAAAATATTTTAGGCACGAAAGCATTTAATCTCATCAAATTTTTCAATGGAATTTTCTATTAGAAAAGTTATTACAAACAGAAGTTTACCTATGGAATTTTTCATAAAAATATTCTGTCAGTATTGGTGTTTTTTATATATTTTTATTTTTATTAAAAATATATAAATAAATTTATTTTATTCATTTATGCTTTTTGTCTTTATTAATTATGATTGTATATGTATATTAATCTTCGACAACACTACAACATGCATGCATACATATATAAATTTTTTTTATATTTATTAATAATGATTTATCCATAGTAAATTTCATTTAGAAATAAATTAAATGTTAATAAATTATCAATTATAAATATTTATTTATTTATTGACATTTAGTTAAATTTTCATTTACAAAGATTATTTGTTACTTATAACTTCAAAATTATCATTATGATATATTATAAATTAATAAACCACATATATATATATATATGTGTATTATAAATTAATAATATTGAATAGCATAATATATCGATTATAGATAGACTCATTTAATCATGATAGTTTCAATACAGTTAATTTAAAATGATATATATATGAGGTTATGGATAAATTAATACTATATCTTAATTAAAATTATAATTTATAAGCCATATAGATAAAAGAATAATATATATTATTATTCTTATATATAAGAAAAACTTTCATGCAAGAAGAATGTATATATTTGTATATTTTCATAAAAGAGAAATATTTTATTTATATATATATATATATATATACACACTTTCATAAATTGATAAAAGGGTACTAAATTATTTTACATAATTAATATATATATATATATATATATATGTATGTGTTAGAAAAGATAAGTTTAAAGTAAAATTATTAAAAGGGAAGTGAATTGGTTGCTAAGTAAAAATTCCTCTTTTTTCAAAAACTCAATTTAACTTCGAAAGATTACAACAATAAAACAGAGCATGAACTGAATAAGTAAAGAGCAACAAAGTAAGAAATGTCTCAATAGGATTTTTATAAAGATTCAACTGACCAATGCTTATGTCATCTCCTAGATAGCATAGGGAGTTTGAATCCACTGTTAACTTGCCTTTTCAACAAATTCAGTTGTAACCTTTACAACATGTTTTTTATAGGATCAGGCGTAACCTTTATCAAGACACTACCTTTTTAGATTAAAATACAACCTTTATATAAGAACAAGCCTTTTAAAGGATCAAACAAAACCCCTCTACCATTTGCTTGAAGACATAATCAATACAACAATGGATTCATGTGAACCACAAGCTAAAAATCTCTAGAAAAGCAGATAACGAAGTTTAGGTTCAGAAAGGTGTGAGCTTTCACAAAAACAAGAATGATCAAGGTTAAGTTCAAAAAAATCAATTGAAGGGTAAAGATGTGAACTTTAGTCTCTTTGTTTGCTCAAAGGTAAGAGCTTTTTTGCTCACAGTTGTTGCTCTTGTTTTTTTGCTTTTTTCCTCTTCCAAGATGATTGAAAATCTTTCAAAATCCATTTTTCTACTTGCTTTAATGTCCTTATGATGTATATTTATTGCCTTTGAGATTTTCTGCCCATTGAAGTAAGTTTTGAATCATTTCTTGTAAGTTCAAGCGAGCTTGCACAATTCTATTGCTTCAATAGAATCGATTTTTTGCAGTTGAATTATCAGTTCTTCGCAAAGTCTGAAGCTTTCTATTTTTGAAGAATCAATTTTTCTATTCTAAAGCGTCAATTCTTCTAGAACTGAGTGTAAAAGTGACCCTTTTGCAATCTTGGAGAATCAATTCTGTTGCCTCAAGGTGTTAGTTGTTCACTGTGGACTAGTGCCAAAATTTGAATTCAAGCTTAAATTTTGCTGCTTCACTTTTGTCTAGTTGTACCACTCCTTTCGTGATCACCAAGTTTTTGAGTTATACTTTTAGTGCTGCAAGATTCAACTTTTTCTTGTAGAATCGAATTTTTTTCCCTTGCTTTTCTCGTTCTGCCTTTTGTCTCTCTAAAATTGATTCTTTGTCTCTTAGGTGTCGATTCTTCACAACATCTGTAGCTTCTATCTTCCAAGAATTGACTTCTCATTGTCTTAGAATCAATTCTTTATTATATTTGCTTGAGAACAGAAAAGTTTTAATCGATCAACGCAAGGCTTAATTTATTAAGAGGGCATTGGTTGCAAAACAGAAGCATGTTAATCGATTAACCAAAGGGATTAATCAATTAAAGCATAAACTTGGAATACATGAAAGCCTTAAAATTCAAATCCAAAATGATGTTGACCGTTGATATGCTTCAAATTAAGAAATTCAAATTTGAAGATTTTTTAATCGACTAAAGTTTATCTTAATTGGTCAAAGTTGAAGGAAGAGAAACTTCAATTGGTTAAAGGGAAGATTAATCAATTAGAAGAAGGTTGGTGAAAAATGTTACTTGAAGGAGTTTGAAGACAAAAAGGTTTTAATCGGTTAAAGTCCCTTTTAATCAATTAACACTATGAAGTAGACTACAAGACATCAAGGCTTTAATTGGTTAAAACTCATCTTAATCGATTAAAAAGTTACTACCAGAAATTTGAAAACAATTACCAAAAGATAAAATAATGGTTATAATTGTTCAAAACTATCTCTAATGGCTAGAAACATTAATTCAAGTATTTAAGAAGCTTAAAACGATCATAAATGAGATAGAGAAGCTACCAAAAGTAAGATTGAACCTAGAAAAGCATAAACTTTTTCTTTTCAAGTGTTTTCCACTCTCACCCTTTGTAAACTTGATTGAGTTGAAACTTGTACACCTTATATTAGCTAAGTGATCATTGTAGTTCATTTTATTCTTAGTTCTTAATTTATTAGACTGTGTGAGACACTCTAAGGGATTATTGTAAGAGTTTGGAGCTTAGGTTAGAAGCACCCCTTGTAAAATCTTGGTAAAAGTTGTTAATTCCACTAATTTAGTAAAGTTAGATTAAAAATCTTTGATTAAAAAATCAAGATAATAGATGTAAGTTAACAAGACCGAACCATTAAAAATATTCATGTTTTATCCACTTCTTTATATTTTTTCTTTGCTTGGTGTCTTTTAACTTCAACAAGGTTTAAATCTTCCATTTTAAAATTATACAAAAAGTTTTTTAAGTTCAATGGCTACCTTCAAATTATTTTTAAATGCTATTCACACTCAATTGGAAGAATCAAAATTTTGTTGTTGTTACAATAGTCTCTTAAATTTCCACTTCCTTGAATACTCTCTCAAAAACATGTGCACTCTACTCCTATAGTGATTTGTAAGTGCAATTGAACTCTTTCAATTGGCAATTGAACTTGGTAGAAACAAAAAGCCTCAAAGTGTCAGGCTTAGTGAAGTCAACCCCCCATATTATTGTTAAAACTACATATATCAAACCCTATATCAACGAAAACATTTCCGATATTGATTTTTTTAAAATTAAATTGATGAAAAAATAAAACATATTTTTGACTCTTTTTTAATAAATTACAATATCTATAGATTTTCGATGAAATTTCATCAATAAAAAATATTTGAGAAATTAAATTTTGTAAAATTAAAAGAAAATATAGGCATCAAATTTATTACTGAGATTTTCTATGAAAACATTTTTTGGGTAAACTCCATTAAAATTCATCGAAATTCTTGTTTTTTGGGCAATTGGTTGGAAATCCGTGGATAATGGAGAGCGTTGTTGACGAAAAAAATTCTATTTTCATAGTCTAAACTCTATTTCAAACCACGATGTATAGGGAAAAACGGAGCAATGATTCTCCCCTTTATGGCTGAAAGTGTCATTTCCCAGCGACATTTCTCGTCCAACTCCAGTCACATGGGATCAATGGATATTAATTAATAAAGATAAAATGATAATAAAAACGGGGAGCATTTAGCTTTCGAGAACCTTAAAATATTACTTACCTTTTCTCGAAGGAAATGGCTTTCTTTCATGGGGGATATGTTTCTGGTCCGTTACAGGGATCATAACCATACTCAGCCATTGGGCTTAACTTGAGCCCAAAAACAGGGTAAGCAAAACTTGCTTATTCCTCCACTCCGTCGACACTCTGGTTGGTTGTTCGCTTTGGAAAACAAAAGAAAAATGTATCGAAGTCGATTGCTTTGGTTTACGCTGGGGTTCTCACTCACGGCTGCTTCAATCTCTCAATTCATCTATAAAGACCTCTGGACTGACCGTTATGCGCTTAAATCTGATGTACTAACTTTTATTCTTTTCTCTTTGGAATTTGGATTTCTTTCTGGGAGTATTTGGTATTTTAATTAGCACCATCTAAAATTATTTTAATTTTCTTTTTTCGAAAATTTTCAGATGAAGCAGAAATTTGATTCACTAGAGGCCAGAGTGTTGAGTCTTGAATCGCTTCCTCCGGAGAACCCAAATTCTGCTCAGGTATTTCCCTTTTCTTTTTTTCCCAAATTTACTATATTATTTGGGAATTTATTTGTGACACTATGAAATGAATTGAGAATGTTATGAGCAATAAATTTCCATCCAATTTTCATTTGCTTAGGCATTATTGTTTGCAAAATACGGGGTTGGCGATAGATGGAAGAATGTTTAACTCTGACTGACCTATTAGTTTGATGCTTGAAAATCATTTTGCAGCCGCGGGCTCATTCATCCATAAGATGATAAGATACCTCTCTATCTGTAGGTTTAAAATCAACGAAAAATACCATAACATAAAGATGTTTGGATTCCCTGAATTACTTGCATTGTATCGAAGCCGATAAAATTCGAAAAGTGCCATGTATTTTGCATTGAGCTCTTGTTGAGATGGGAGTTTAGAAGCTTCACTCTCAGTGGCATTCAACTTGGGATTAGAGTTCACTCTCGTTTTCTTTTTTTTTCTTTTTTTTTGTGTGTGTTATTTCTGGTCCAGTGGCTGGGTACAAACAACAGAGTTGCCTTCCCTGATCTGGGGTGAAGGTGGGTTTAAATGCTGGTCCTTGGTTTTGCTGTGAAATGATTGTACCACTTAGGCTCCCTGGCATACTCTGCTTGGGGACTTTCTCTTTGGCTAGAAATTTAGAATAAAGTATATCGAGAGTGGGACAATTTTCACCTGAAAAGTTGCGAGGGATTTGATCTGGCTAATATTCACTTCTGTTTTAGGAGAAAGATTTCTGTTCCCCAAATTAATTTAAATTTTATTGGTCATTTGACATGAGAGAAAATGATTATTTCTTCTTTAAGAATTGTTTTGTTCTATGCTCTTCTTAATCTGGTGATGTCTATATGGTATTTAATCTCATCTTATTTGTTTTCTTTGCAGGCTGAAGGTTAGATATTGTGTGAAGCTCACATAGTTTCTGGTTTGGTTCATGACAAAAATGTATTTGGTTTTAAAATAATGAAATGGTGGTAAAAAGAATGATTTAGTTACATTTGCTTCGATATTTGAGCAATGCTATGCAGTGGGAGGATCGTCGTATTTGGTAGTTCTTTTATGCAATTTTACAATAGTGTCTACAAACCATCCCATGTCATATTACACAACTGGAGGTATTTTCCAGGGGATTAATCATGCTGGACGCATCCTTAACAGCACCAGCCATGAACTTTGGGAGAGTTCAGTGAACAGACTGAAGTCTAAATAAGCAGGATGGCTGCTAGAAACCTTTTGAGTCTTAAGCCTATTTCCGTCTCTATCATTTGAGCCATGCCAAGAATGCAACCCTGGACAGTTTATTGCTTGATTTATGATTTATTGTACAAATTGGGAAAGGGTTGGCAGAAAAGCTAAGCCCATCACTCTGAAATATCTGCTAAGACAATTGCCAGGAAGGGTATATTGCAGTAGATAACAACCAATCCACCCCACTCTTATGAACTTTCTCAAGAGGATTGAAATAAAATTCTGAATTTCTGCTCCTATATGTATCACACACAAAATAAAACAAGATAGGCTGGGGATGGCAGCCGCTCATCAGTATCTGAATTAACTATTGCAAAAATTTTCAATAACTGCGGTGCCTAAAATAGGCTATTAAACTGTTTATATCTTTCCATTGAAATGCGACTAGAATTGAATATTGTTCAATGATTATACAGACAGAATTTCCTTCTACATAACTAAATATTCACAAGCTACATAGACTATTAGTTCCTAAAATTAATCAACTGAAAAAGAAAAAAAGATTTAAAGCATGAAGAAATGAAACTTGTTGCATTCTAATTTACCAGAAATAACAGACATCTAGAAAGCAAGTTTAAATTGACAAACAACTTGCCCAAGTGACCATTTCTTTTTTCTGTTTTTTTTTTTCCCTCCTTTTCAGATTTGAATTGAGAATTCCTAGCTCGAGACAAATAGTCAGCAGTATCATCAGTAAGCCCTGAATCATGATTTCATCTGATGAGATGATCGAGGGAGGATGGAGTTGGCCAGTTCTTCATTCACCTTGACTGGAAGCGGAGGCATTTGTTTCATTACTTCTGGCATGTCATTCAAGCTGCAAAAAACTCATTAACATTAGAGAATGTACAGAAGTTGTATAAGATAAATTACTCTATGTCCAACAATAATCTGCTATATCATTCCCAGATTTGAAGAACAAGTTCTAACTAATTAAATGAAACTATTTCAAATGTCTTAATCCACAACAGCAGGCAACAATAATCAATACCTCCACAGACACATCAGCTTATTTCTTTATGCAAAGCTATATGCTCCATACTCAATTAATTCAAAAATACCTCCACAAATATTTTTGTCAATTCAAAATTAGTCTCTTGCACATGACAGACCAAAAAATTCTTATATGCTGCAAGGCATTTTATTTACATAATATTTCCCTCTAATTCAGCCATTCCAAACAACAGTCACTCCGATGGCTCTCATGCAATTTGATCTTACATCCAGTAAGCCCTTCCAAATATTTGACTTCTGGTAGCCATCAAGATGAAGGGATGGCTAAGTATTTGACTTGCCAATAAATTTTTCATTCATTCATTCAGAATCTTCACATGAATCTGAATATCTTCATAGATAGCAAAGACATAACAAAGTTGAGGGTGATCAGCGTGGCTTTATATTAGACAGGCAAAACCTATCTTGCACCAGGATCAGGCAATATAACTATAACAACTTGCATGGTGAAAAGTAGCTACTCCTTAGTGACAGGTAAATTTAACAGAGTGCAATAACAAAGAAGCAGCAAGCACCGTAAAGCAAAATAGCTACCAGAAAGAAGCTTGCACCAGGATCAGGTGATATAACTAGAACAGTGTACATGGTGAAAAGTAGCTACTCCTTTAAAGACTGGTAACTGTTAAAAAAGTGCTTAATGAGAAAGCAGCATGCACCATAAAGCATAATAGCCCAGAAAGAAGCTTAGGAGCCAAAACTACCGTCCATACCCTCAACAGACAACTTTTTCTCATCATTTGCCTTGGATTGACCACTTCTAGGATCATTTACCTTCCTTATTTTCACCACTCCAACTTTAACATGATTTTCAATTTGCTATTACAACATGATAAATGCCCTCCCCTATAATACGAAAGTCTTGCCAACATAGCTGCTTTTTCATGTTCTTGATTTCCTATGAAGGGAACCGATTAAGTTAATAGAAATGAAAGCACAATGATGATGACTGCAATGATAATACTAATGGTATTGCAGACAAGTGAAGAAGTCCATGATTGCCATAACTGTACTGTTATACCACACATGATAATGAGCGTTCATAAGCTTGCAGTCATGCAATAAAAATGCAAATATGGTCAATGATGCCGTCCAAGTTAACATTAAAAAATGAAAAATCTCTAATTAAAACATAACAGAAAGAATAAAATAACATACTCATTCAAGATTGTGAGGATGTTGTCCCGGGTTTTGCATAAGAGATTGATGTTATCATGTATCTGCATGCATAGAAAGAAAGTAAATAACAATCAATTAAGAAGGCAGATGTAATTAGCTAACAGCGAGACAGCAGCTGTCGAAACTATAACAGTCTGATAACAAGTCAACCAATCAGATGACTGTAATTATATAAAAACTTTCATTTTCATATAGTGCATTTAGAAGTGAATTGGCATCATCTACCAGATGCCATAAAAATAGAGATATACATATTAATTATTGAAGATTCTAAGTAATAAATGAAAAGTAACTGTCTAATAGTGGGGCAATCTGCCAGCTGTCTGCATAAGAATTGCATACCAAGTACCAATTTCAAAGGTAAAAAACTAGAGAGCAGTGGTGCCTTCTCATAAAATTGAATTAGTTCATTTCATCAAGTTGAATTTTTTTCATTGAATTATTTTATCATGTCAACACTTTCACTCAAAACCAACAATGACCTGATATAACAACAGCAGGAAAAAAGATATTTAGAATAAGTTTATGAGAAAGATTATAGAAAGATTTCAAGTCCGATGAAATACAAAGGACTTATTTGACCCCACATAAAACTTGTAAGAGAAAGAGATGACTACTTCAAGTAAAATGACGGAACAGCAGCACTACTGAATGCAAAATTACAGAATAAAGTCTCTGAACAATGTCAGGGCAGATCTACATGAGAAAACCATAGAAGAAAATTTCAATGACACCATATATTTCACCTGGAAAGCTGCAAAATTTGCAGAAATTTGATTAAACATTTGAGCATTTTGTTCAAGTAGCTCTCCTGTCACACCACCGATGGCTGAAAAGACATATTTCAAATTAAAAATGTGTAGAAAAAGCGAGAACACTATACTAAAATGTTAAATATGGTTAGCTCTAATCTCTCCTATCTGCTCTTTTTCCCCGCCTTTTCTTGTGGGTAAATCTTAAACCTAACTCCCTATTCCAACCTACAGTTTATGTTCTACATGGTCAGCTCCAAAGAATCTCCCTGCATACACTACTTTAAGTTCTAAGCTTGATCAAATTCAATAAATTTTAAAAGAAAAACATTAGCTACTGTCTTTACACTGATTGAGCATAAATATCTCAGCTCAAAGTTTCTATCCAGCTGTAATTTTTATTTTGGTAAAAAAGTAGAGATCTCTCTAATATATGACTAGACCAAACCTTTGTATGAGATGCCATCATCATTGTCCATAGGGGTCATTGGTGGAGCATATGAAGGACCATTTGGCCTAGTTGTTAAATGAGATGTAGACTTTGCCGAAGAATCCGAACCCTTTTCCTGCAAAACCATGTCCTTATTAACTTGAGCTTTCAAGTATTAGAGCAACCTACCTAAGAAAACATCCAAGCTGCAGATAGCTGAACTGCATAAATAAGACAGCTGAGGAAGCTTTTAATAGGAAGGTGAAGCAGTCCCATATCACCCACCTGAGCTTAAACAACAATGGGCTAAAGCCTGGAGAAAAACACCTAATCCAGAAATTTCTCAGAAAACCCAGAGAATTAGTGTGAACGCTCATGCAAATGATACGTCTGGGTAGAACATGTTAGGAAGTAGCCCTTCTCTGATATAGGGCATGCTTCAACTTTCAACCACATCTAGTTATGTTCGAGATTTTATGTTTACTCTTTCTGACAGTCTATTAAACATGCACCTGAGACACAGTGAATGCTCCCATAATTATATTACATGTACACACCAATTAGGTAACCTTCATATAGTATCTAGTAGCCCCCCATGCTTCTTGAATATTTTCTGCCACAACTTATTTCAAGAATTTCAAAATTAAAAATTTGCATATGTGATAGAGGACGTTGAGGGTCTAACAACCAAAGGATTGGATGTGTGAGGTATATATACACTTCAAGGAACTGTCAAGTCAAGAATGCCAAAAGATGCCATAGTCAATCATAGGTAAAAACTCTGTGACCATAAAACAGATTCAGAATTCATAAAGACTACTAAAGTTATGACACAGGCTAGGAAATTTCATTCAAGAAACAACCATAGAGAATAAACTCTCTTCCAAAGACATACTTCAAGGAATCAATTATAAAACATAAAGCAGTGAAAATATACATTGCACAGATTAATTGTACTAGCACAAAAATTTAGACAGACATACCCTTCTGTCTTTATTTTTCCTTGCTGAATTATGATCCTCTTTCCTTCGTTTGCCATTTTCCTTTTTCTGCAAACAGATTCAAGTAGGTGATTATTCAGCATACAAATCCAATGCACATTTACTGCATAAATACAAGCAAAAAGAATAAGCACATTATGCATACACAATTCCACCATAAAACTATAATTTTTTTTTTAAAGAGAGAGAAGGTAAAAGCCAAACTTGCTTTAGACGTTTCGCCAAATGAGAAATGACTTAGGAAAGAAGGTAGAAAAAGACAAGGCGTCCATCAAAAAGAGCAGGAAAAACAAGGAGCTTCATTGAAAACCTATCTCATAGCCTTAGTTATATGAAGGCATTAACCTTCCAATCAGCTAAACAAGGAATCCGGCAGAGTCAGCAATAAACTCAATTATTACTTGCGCCTTTTATCCACGATTTTTATAATAGCATTGAAGAACATTGGGCATCTTAATGTTCTCCGCTATAATACATAGATATTTTCAGTAGAATCTTGTAACTCTATGTATTTAAAATTTTTAATATTAAATAAATATAGTCTAAAATTCATTTCTTACAAAAGTCAAGGGCAAATATTAAAGCCGGTATTGAGATAAATGTCAATGTAATTTACAGCATTTTAAAAATATCAATTAGACATCAATAAGCTTATAGGTAATCCCCACCTCATTATTAATAGCCCCTTCTCTACCCCATGGTAAAGAGTACATGTCATACATATCAGCCTTTGGGTTTTTGCCTCCGATAAAAACAGGACATTAATCCCCAAAAGAACCCAGCAATATCAATTTTAATAATTACCATCTGGAGGTATTCTGCACATAAGATTCATTGCAATGACATTAGGAGCATAAACCACCATATCCCTGACAACAAGAGAAATTTGGAAAGCTTTGCAATTTTATAAACTGAAACTCAAAAGAAGGCAGTTTTGAGAATTTCCAAATGGAGTTAATGTCTCTTTTATTGCAAATCACATTTAGGCCTTTTATTTCTAAAGAACACCATACTACTGACAACATATCAAATTTCCATATGTTTACCGAGTTCCCCATCAAATGAGAAAAATAAAACCAAGACAAGTAGACATGCTCCAAACAAGTGCAACATTGATACTCAAAAATGAAAATTTTCTTTGGCCAGATGGAAAAAGATCGTGCTCCTAAATGGGCCAAAGAAAGCATTTAGATGCTTTTTAAGCTTTCTCTAGCATTGGCCAAAACATAAATCCTTCACTATGTTGCATAAAACCCATGCCATATATTTTGTAATTAATAAGCCTCGAACATTAGTGATATGACAGATAAAAACCCAAGTACAATTACAAGCTTGTTCACCTGTCTACATTAAATCTCAAATGATCATACACGCAAATATAGACATTCCATCGGAGGTGATATTTAAACACAGGATGTCAGATTTACCTCTTAGTGTCAGAAGAGGTGCTTTTTACCGTGTCATATTTATAAATACCGGATTATTCATCCTTAACATCTCTTACGTTCATTTACTATGACCAAAATAGGTCAAAAACTTCTATCTCTATACATTCCATTTTATGGATCTAATGCAACTATCTCAATTTCATCTAAAAGGTAGGCTTAGCTATATACACGGGCAAATGCAGAGCTGCATGCGTGATTTCATCAGTAAATCTATATTTTAGTATTAGTCAGCTTCCAGAAAGTTGGTTATAACCATCCGCTCTTTTACAGGCTTGACTCACCATTTAAATGGAATTCAAGCAAAATAGTGATTATTTGGGCACTTGTGAGATTTCATCGATTAAACATTTCAAACATGAAGCAATAACTAAGTTGATGTCATCTGTCTAAATCATTTCATGACAAGGACTTTGGGTTTGAACCTCTAATTGGAGGAAATATTGAAAATAGTTGGTATTAAAGTTGAAACATTAGTCTAATAGTTAAAGAACAATGCTTCAGTTGAAACCTTAGGGAAGAATGATTCTTGACACCAAAATTTAAGGTCAGTAAGGACCGAAAGGTAGGGAATAATGAGAATAACGAGGGTATGGAAATGAGGTTTTGCGGTAAGTAAATCAAGATTCCAGACATTTTTATAACTGTTGTCAAGTTCCTAATAATTTCTAGTGATTATCAAATTAGTGAATACAGACCACAGTAATGTGAAAAATGCTCCCAAAGTTAAGGGTTTCTTTTCTGGCTGAAAGTTTAAGGTTTGTTGAGTGTTAATATTGTGAGCTTAGTCCCAGAGGCAAACACCTTGTGTTAGGATCACTTCACAAAATCCAAAGAAAAAGCATACAGGTTAACTGGAATTTGATATACATGTTTTCCATCAAATAAGAAGGTTCCATGCATATACACAGAACTCTTGAAGACCTAATTCACAGGGTCTCAAGATCCAATACAAAAAAAATATAATATTTAACTTCAAACATGTAAGAACTATAACTCAAAGACCTAACAACACTAAAAAAAGAAAAAACAAAACAAAACAAAAAGATATTAAACTACAGAAACTGTAAATTCTAAAAGTTCCAAAAAGTTTCAATATATCTTCGACTCATACAAATAAAGAAAATTCATTTAGATTAAAACCTGCTAATTCCTCACAATAATAAAATAAAAGTGAAACCTCATACAACTAATTTGGCCTATATAAGGCCTTAAGCATCAAATAGATTATAATTCTTGATTTTTTTACATTTAAGCTTGAATTTTCTTGATTCCTTGGTTGGCTGCAAGGCTAGTGCCCATACAAGTCACAACTTGGGAGTTTTTAAACAGAAACTCTAAGGTCAAGTAATACGAAATGTTCATTCCAACATAGCCAAATTATTAAAGTTATAACTAGATAAACTGCTTTGAAGGAGGACAAGTTATGAAGTTATACTTGTCATGCAATCCTTCAAGCTGTTCCCCAACCAACAACCCCCCCCACCCCTTGGTCACAAAGCTTCAATAACATACAATTCGTAGTGACCAACTTACAGTCATCCATCTACAACGCAGTGCCACATCCCGAACTGTTTTGTCCTTCAACTTCATTGCAATCTTAGCATAACGAACTATGATTGAATCAGAGGCATACCTGTAAACAGCGATATCACCACACACACACATATATATATCTATTAATTGGATAAGGAACACAATATGGGGCACAAAATAATGATCTAGAGAAAACAAAATATTACCAACAAATCTACCAGGAGAAGATACAATATTAATTGCTGGCACAGTAATTTAGCCAAAAGAACACACATGCATGCAAACAGAAACTATTATGTTCTCCATCAATAACATCAGCATCTACTTTAGATATCTGACAGGATAGTTATATTAGGGGTTTAAATGGACAACCACCATATCCATTGCTTAAACTCACATATCAATTACAAATTTAATAGCAAACAGACTGCTTTAACTAGAATCAGCACACTAATAGTTACATTTTGGAAATATCAAGATCAAAACAGCATAAACGAAGTAATCAAGAAAATAAATTTCTGTGAACAAAACTACAATATGTACAAAAGAAAGCCTGTCCATGCATCGATTATCGTCATAATGCCAGATATTCATGCATTGTGGTAGACAGAGAGCTTCCGATGATGATTGGAAAGCCTTGACGTGTTAAAGTGGAAAATACCAGAAATATGATTCATAACAACTCATGCACTTGTTGTCCCTACCGACAAAGTTTTCATCACAACATTGCAAAATTATCTGGAGCAATATTGGTCCATCACAGAACTTATGACTAAGTGTCGACCATAGTTTACCAAATAGTTTTATACAAAAAATCCCTGTTTTTAAAGTATGTAAGAAGACAGGTTCATCATCATCTACAGCAAGTAGCACATACAGCGAAAAACATATGAGCAACTAAGATATAAAGAAGAACAAAAATGATCGCTTTGTTTTTACTCAAAACCTACACAAGTACAAACCGATAACACACATACTCAGTAGACAAGTACTCACATCAACAAGATAGCAATTTACAAAACATCTTAGCTTCAAGTATAAAAGATGAAAATTTATATCATTAATGTGCTCTTGATGCTTTTACCAACCTCAACTAAGTTTAACTACAGTAAGAAACCTGAAGTTAAATAATATTCCCAGTTCCACTCAGAATTTTTTTTTAAAAAAAAAAAGCCAATAAATTAAGACCAGGGAAAAGAAAAAGAAATTTGGAATTTCCAACTTCTAAACCATCCCAAATTTCTCAAAAGAACCACCACCTTTTATTGTATTCAAATAAGCTCATATTCTATAATTGTTACCCTAATAAGCCGATAAGTTCACGATCAGCTCGCGTCCTTCGCACTAACATAAGTTTTCTAACATTACCAACGTGACATATTTTCATCAACGTAAAAGAGTTATTGGGCACAAATAATTAGGATAGAGTGATATTTGGGTACAATTAAAAAAAATTAAGATATTTAAATAAAGTAGGAAAGTTTCACCAGCTTACTTACCATTTTAGACTACGATATATAAGATAACAGATTTGAAAATAACGACCAGAAAAAGGAGGTAAAAAAATAAAACGGGAGTGAGAGAGAGAACGAGGGAGTTACTTGGCGAGCAAATCTTCGAGAATCGATTGTTCATCGGGAGTCCAGTCGGCGGAGATGCCAGGGTTGTGCCTCAACGAGGACTGCGTATCAGCCGAGACAGCGGCCGTGGAGGTATTGCCCCCGTTCGAATTGACGGAAACGCCATTGGTTGGTGGAGGAGGAGCCGTTACCTTCCTGTTCGACGAACCTTCCTGATTAGTCCCCGTCGTATTCGCACTCGCAGCCATCAACAAAAAAAAAGCAGCTAAAATCTTTTTCTCTTGTCTCGAATTCTGAGGGTGAAGAGTGTTGGAATAGGAAATTATAATTTATTATATGATGTAATAATAAAATTAAATGTATACGGACAAATTTAATTAAACAGAAAAAAAAAAAAACGGAAGAGGAGGGGATGGATTCTTGCAAAGGGATAGAAATGAAGGAGAGCCGTTTTTCGATTGCCATCCTAAGAAAGCGAATCTTTTTAATAAAATGTTGCCTTTTTCACTTTTTCCAGAGAGAGTGACAGAATAATTTTTTCTCTCTCACTCTTTTGAACCTATTTAAGATGCTTCTTTTTCCTTCTTTTTTAAACTTGGCAAAAAGGTTACTGGGTAAAAACACAGACACCTCACGAATATCTCTTGACTGAAGACAGACAAAAAAGCACTTAGAAACGAGAAATCAAAATTCAGATATCTAACTAATGTAACTATTAAAAGAATTACATAAATAAATCAATCAAACTAAATTGTTATATATACATAACTATAATTTTTAAGTTATTTGTTTCTTCTTCTTTTTTGGTATTGTCATAAAATTATCATGAAGTAAAAATAAGTTTAAAATTGGATTTACAATAAGTAAATTGTTAAATTGTATATTATAGGTAATTTTTTTCATATGTAAGGAAAAAAAAACATATGATATATTTTAATGAGGTTTCTATATTTTTTAGCTTACTGCATTTTAACAATAATAAAAGAATACCTTTCAATGAGATATGTGACAACTTTCTATTTTCGTTAGTAGAATTTTTAAACTTCATCTAACGTATAGATAATTTTCTTAAAACCTATGACTAAAAATATTTTAACGTTTACATAAGATGAACTTCATTTATTAAGCGTACTTTTTTATTTTTGATAAAGATTAAATGAAATTTCACCCTATTTGAAAATAGAATCTTGCAAATCATACCATGTTAGCATGCTTAATTTTATTTTACTAGAGCGTATCATCCAAGATACAAATAAATTGTTTTAAATCAAATAAATAATACGAAAGCGAGGATTCAAATTGTTTTAAGATCTTTTTTAAATAATTTGACCTAGAAATAATATTTCCATAATTTGAGATTTAAAGCAGAGAGGTTAATTTTGCAAATACAAAATCATAGGATAAGATATTCAATTGTTCACAAGAAAATTTTGAAGTCATGCTCATTCCAATGAAAGTGATGCGTTCCATCTTTGGTTAGATAGAATTTCACCTTTTATTGGTACGAGGGACCCTATCCATCAAAGCAACTTTACCACCTAATAATACAAAGAAGCAGAAGATCCAAGGCTAAAACCTTAAAGAAGTCATTATATTAAAGTTATTTATTCAATCAAGTCCCTAATCTTTTGTTACATTTAAACAAATAAATCCTTGAATGTCTTCCAAGTTTTGCTTAAGTATTAAGCCTAGTATTATTGTGAGTCATTAAAAAAGAGTCTTATAGTATATGATTGATTTTGTCTAGGTAAGTATATTGCTTAGGACACAAGCTAGTGCCAAAGACGTGATAAGTCAGATTGTGAAATTCCATCTTTGTGTATGACGTTAAGTTAAGAAATCCTTAAGTGAGCATGCATAATCATGTTTTGAAACATCTAGATTAAGTTTTAAGCATGGAAAATTTTGTGCTTTGATGCTTTTAGATGATTTATATAAGTTTGGTATTTAAAAGAAGTCCAAATGGACAATGCTTGAGTTTGTATTTGTTAATTGGAGTCGATAGATGTTTTTCATCTATCGACATCTATTGATAGATACAAACAAAAAAAAAATTTGAGGTAATGGAAAAACATCAATCAGATGGGTTTATTTATCGATAGATAGCAACCGAGATCTTTTTAAAGAGTCCTAAACCTATTTATCGATAGATGATTCTGATCTATCTATAGATGACATTATTTTAAAAAAAAATGGGTAAAAAAGTATTTTCACACCCTATACTATAAATATGTCACATTAAACAAGGGTTGGCAACTCTCAACCATTTTTGTAAGGTAATTTCTAAACCCTAAACCCTCTCTAACTTATTTTTAACCCAAAATCTTATTTTTGATGACTTTAAAGCTTGGGTTTAAGTTTTTAAGAAAAGATGACATTTTTCAACTTCGAATCCTTGATTTATGATTTTTCCAGAACTAAGGATATTATTTTTGTGCCCAGATTTTCTGTTGAGTATTAGAGCTTAAAGGTTTTGTGACTTTTCTTAGCATCAAAGCTCATTTAAGGTCAAGATGAAGGATTTAGGTTCCTAAACATTTAGTATGTTAAGTAGTAGTGGGTTTGAGCGAGAAAGTTAGTTTTGGTTGAACCCGAATAGTTTCAAAAGTAATTAAAAGGATTATTATGAGATTAATAGTCTAAGTAACGATTATGATGATAATTGAATATCAGGGATAGTTGAAAACTCTGAGGAAATTACAGGAAAAAGGTTTTAATCGGAGCTAAAGGTTGAATGGATACACCTTAATATGTAAAATGAGCTTGATTTTTATGAAAATGATTAATTATGCATGATGAGATATTATTTCAAGAATAGTTTCTCAAAGGATTTGAATTTCAAGGTTTTCAACTAGTTTTTGAAAGTATGATTAAATGATTTGAAAAGATGATTATTATGTGAGTCGCACAAATGATTTTCAAATCGTTTGTGAATCTACTATGTATGTAAATATCCTTCTATGTATTAGTTTTCAATAAGGGAGGACAAGCTCGTTCAAATATTTTCCTTCCAATGAGATGAATAGTATGATGTACATGCTTGACATGACATAACATGTAAAGTATGATGGATGTATGAGTTCCAATTATGAGATTATGACATGCATGCCATGAGTTGTATGTGTTGAGGATATCATATACACTATGGGTGAAGCATGTGCATGATTTATGAGATTATAAAATGCATGCCATGAAATATATGTGTTGAGATAATCATATAAACTATGACCTGAGCATGATGATGGTTTATAAAAATGTTATATAGTTATGATGTAAGCTAAGAATGAGAACAATCTTAAGCTTGAGGAATCTTATAATGATAATAGGGATTAATCACTATCTACATGAATGGGTTGGGACCATTCGAAGAACTGTGGGTGAGGTCGATGTGCCACTCATGTAGCTAAGATGATTGTTTATGTGAGATGAACTAAACAGTAGTGAGGACTTTGTCTATTACCTGCCTAAGTGGACCACTCAAAGATTGTGGGTAAAGCTAATATGCCACTCACAAGAGCATGCTAGGAATCTCAGGTAGTGAGGATTAAATTTCTCCCCATTTGAATGGAGCAAGACCACTCATAGTTAAGAAATGTTTATGGTATATGGTTTATTAGAAAGTTATGAATTGATGCTCATGAGTCTATGTTTAAGATTGAGTGGTTATATATGTCACGATGTATGTGAGAATATGGTGAATGAATGCTTGTTTGGTAAAAAAATCTAGCCTGGAGAATTGTTCCATGGGATAGAGGACATATGGCATGATTTTACGTAAGAAATTGAGTTACAATATTGATCTATGAATACTTTAGAGCCATTTAACGATAAATAGAATGACAATATGCTACAAGAAGTATTTTGAGTTCCACTTATTGATAGATACCTTCATCTATCGATAATGCAAGGCGGAATGGAGTTTTCATGTATGTTTCAAGGAGTTTTCAAAGACAAATGATTTCTTAAGAGTTTCATAAACTTGTTTTCCATGCAACGTTATTTAAAATGTATTTAAATTCCACGTTTCATGAGCTATATGAAAATGTTGAAATGTTTATGAATGGCATGAGTTTGCAAGTGCATGGTTATGAAAAAATCTCCACCTTGGCTTGTCTCTTTCATCGTATCCACTCATGGAGTTTTTGTGACTCACACATTATTTTTCCCAATTATTTTTGTTTACAAGCATTCAACTCTCGAGTCATGGAGATTTGATCCATTCAGCTTTCTTCTATAAGTGTCTAGCATCCATTTGATGCCTAGAGGTTGGGTCATGCTCCGTTGATGAGTCGGTCTTATTATGTTATGTTTATGGATGTTGTACATGGTTATGATGATGTGGCCAATGTTTAACACTTTACTTTATGAATGTTATGGACAAATGTGCAAAGGTAGCTGAGGGCTGGCTTTTATGGACACCATAAGGTATTGATAAAGGTTTATAAGATACTGTGCATGAGATTATGACACTTTAATGATATATGAGATAATTGCACTTACAATGTCTATGTTGAGAAGTTCCATAAATATGTAATGATGCCTATGGTTGCATGTATGTGATTACAATATATGCATATGATGATTGAATGTATGATTCCACACATGATTATGATGTTTAATGAATGAATGGAACGAGGCTTTCTTGGGCTTAATGGGCTATACCCATCTAGGTCTATGTATCGGTCATATTTCACCACAAAATCGAATGTCACATAGACGCTCTTGCAAAGATTATTATTAGACCACGTAAGCCTATTACTAGAAGCCGTGGCAGATGCAACAAAGTCACTAGTTCGGGGAAGATAAATACCCCTACTAGTTTGAGTAGTTAAGATGACCAACAGTAGTCTGCGCTGATTAGAGGAGTACTCGAGGTTCAACTGTTGGAATTCATGAAGTCGAAATCTCTTTCCTTCTCAAGATCAGATACATCTGCATATGTGCAATAGAATTTAAACGAGATTAAAAGGATCTACAAATCACTTAGTTGCAGTAATACCATGATGGTAGAGTTAGCTGGTTTTAGGTTGGGTAAAGTAGCCATGTAATGGTATGATTCAGTGCTTAGAGGTAAGTTAGCAAACGTTGTTTCATTGACTTAGGAAGAGTTCAACGTGACATTTCTAGATCAATTTTTACTAGTCAGCACATAGGGGTTAGAGCTCAAGAGTTTGAGATGTTGGTGCAAACTTTGGGTATGATTATTGCAGAGTATAGTATCAAATTTACTAAGTTGGCTTGATATACA